GACGCCATAATTATAGAGCTTCTGCAGCAAACTTTTATGATTCACTCGATCAAATACTTTCGCGAAGTCGAGATAAATCACATCCACCGCATCCCCTTCGTCAACTGTACTGGTCCATTCATCTCGAACAAGAAGCAGGTTCGTGGAGCAGGATTGCTTTTGCCTAAACCCTTGTCGAAAGGATGTTGTATTTTTCGAGATGTTCCATCAGAGAATCTGCCACAATTTACTTCACGACTTTCGATAACACCGGAAGCAGGGTTACAGGTCTGTAGTTAGCGGAGTCACCACGACAACCACTTTTGTATATGAGAGAAATGACTCCTTGTTTCCACGAGTCAGCGAGTGTTGCTTGATCGAACATTCGTTGAAACAGAATAGCTAGTGGTTCGGACATGTGATTTGCCAAAAAGATCAGAGATTTCGGGTGTATGTTGTCCGCACCTGGAGTTGCATTTTTTCGCAAAGCCATTAGTTTTGCTTTGACGTTTTCAGCAGTAAATGATACGTAGGTCAGTGAAAGATGTGGAAGATGATGATGCAACCGGTGGGGTAGTTGTAAACCTTCAACCTGCGGTGCTGCTGGAATAATGAATTTTCAGTATTTCCGCTGCTTCCGTTAGGGTGGCTGCAACTCTTCCAGCGCTACTTAGTACCGGTATACCAAACTTTACTTTCCGAATGGAGTTGACGTGTTTGTACAACAGCTTAGGGTTAGAAATGAATTTTTGTGCTAGCACCTCTTGGTATTTCACTTTATCCTCACGGATCAGCTTGGTGCAGTGGTTCCTCAGCATTCGGTAATTATTCCATGTGACAGCATTCGGAAGATGTTTATAACCTCGCCAGGCTAAATCCCTCGCCGATAGCCATTTCCTTGTGCGGCTTCGAATAGGTCAATTTCGGATGCCGGATTTGGTGATTACTTTATTTTTCGTCATGGATGTCATTAGATTTGTGAGATTGTCAATAAATTTTCTCCAGGCGACCAAGGGATTAGCTTTTTCATCAAAAGAAACTCACTGGGTAGATAGCGCCAAGTTATTCAACAGTGTATAGTCTATAGATATGCCGTGTTACCAGAGGAACTTCATTGAATCGATGCGTAACAGACATATTTGAATGTGAGTACTGCATGATCGCTACGTCCTAGGGGGGAAGTCACATTG